AAAAAGGAGCCCTTGCTCATCGGTTATAGTAGGGTGTTTGTTTGCAGCCAAAAATAAATAAACAAGTTGTTTGTAGCCTAAAATAAACCTGTCGCCCTTGGAAGAATTTAACTTTGCAAATATATAATACAGCAAGCATTCAAATTACATCTCCATTTTTGTATGGTAATGAATCAAGACTTTCAAAATAAGAAGCCATGGTCAGCTCTCGGCCTCTCATCGTACGTGGAGACTCCAGAATCCCCGAATGCTAGACTACAGTTGACCGCTTTCTGAAAAGCCCCGTCCCTTTTGAACTGTACAATTCCAAAAAATAACAACAGCTGCGAAAGGCACCTCAAACCCAATTGGCGTCACTCCAATCTCGCCTTGGAAGGAGTCCTCCATGCTCGCTCATGCTCCCTCTTAATCTATAAAAGCTTGGCTTGCTTCGGACCGTTCTCAAGGGACCTGATCTGTTACCATGTTTTATTGGCAAAGATGTTCCATCTCCAACCAAACTCGAAGTCGAAAACTGCCTGTTTTCCATCTCTTCGAGTGGGCCAGAACTATACTCCATTGTGATAAAAGAAGAGGCCTGCCCATAAGTTAAGCGAGGGGTTACCCCACCAGCATTCCACCAACTGCTATCAGAAGGGGCAAAATCCCCTTTAAAGTCGGATTCTGGGGCAGAAGACTCCTTTTGACTACAGCAATCCCCACCAGTTTCATCTGTGTCATTGTATATCAGCTTCAGAGCCTGCACAACTTCACCCATAAAAGGTCTGTGAGTCACTTCTGGGTGAACACACATGGAAGCAATGGCTGCCACCTTAGCCATGTCATCAAAATCATATGTTCCAGCCAAGGAAGGATCCACCAACTGTTCTACACCTTCTCTACTGGTCAGTCGAGGCCGCGCCCAAGTCACTAAATTTTCCTGTCCCTGAGGTTGGGACATATCCACAGGTTTTCTTCCTGTTAAAAGCTCCAGAAGCACAACCCCAAAACTGTAAACATCACTCTTAACAAGTAGGTGCCCTGTCATGGCATATTCAGGGGCAACATACCTGCAAATTTACAAACGTCACCTTTAATAAATTTTGGCGAGCAAATCTGTTAGAAGATATGGAAGCTACAAGATTATTGGTTGTTTGATCACAGAAATAACAACATCGGGGGTTTAGGAGATATTTACTTTAAGGGATACATCGAGGCACAACATTTGTTTGGTAGAA